GCGATGACATGTCAATGGTGAAGAAAAATTGGCGAAACAAAATTGAGGAAGGGTTGATTGAGTCGCTGAAGTGTGCGGAGTTGTGGTCTCAGTGGCCGTTTGCACGCGTCTACCACTTTCTTTTTTTTTTCTCTCATATCAGAATGCGTTATGTGCGTGTTTGTCTGTCTGTCTGTCTGTCTGTCTGTCTGGTTCCCTTCCTCCCTCCCCACTGCAGGAGACGTGTCACGTTTCTCTCCCGTCCTGATCTTCTTTGTCCCTTACTTTGCAGCGACGTTCTTGCTCTTTCTTGCCTTGGTTGCGGGGAAGCGGGGAAGGAAAAAGATACACATCGAATTTGTTGTTCTTGTTTTTTTTTGTTTGCTTGTTTTGGTTGGAGGTGCAAGCGGCACGCCTGCGCCGTTTTGGGTCCATGAGGGGAGCAACGTCGATGCCAGCGGGGGGACGGGGAAACACAGGCGGGGAATGCGGTGAAAATGTGGGAGGCGGCGTGCATCTGCACCTCCTCCTGCTGAAGTTTGAGGTGCCGGACGCAGTAAAGGGTGCAACTGACAATGCGGAATTGCTGCGGTCTTGGCAGCAGATATGTGGAGTTGGTCTGGGGCCATTCATATTTCTCTGCGGTCGCCGCACGACGAATGAGGACGGCGGCTTTCACGTCGTCGTTCGGCGGCCAATTGATATGCAGCTGCCGCTTCTGGTGGAGCGGTGCCTCAGGCATGCGGATCTGAGAAGACGAGACCGCCGGACGCCGCGACTGCGATTTGTGCAGTTCACCCCGCTGCGAGGCCCGCAGCTGCAGCTGCTGGGGGATGTGGTCGAGGGGCTGACACTGTTTGTCACGGAGGAAAAACTCGTGACGGTGTCGTCCGCCACTGGCCAGACAGTCACGGACGACAGCGAAGAAGCAAACGGAGAAACAGACGAGGTGGAGAAGTTATCTGCCGCGGAGGAAACATTTCTGTCTTCACTGCTTCAACAGACGTCTGCATGGAGTGTGGAACTTTTGAACCGCTGCGGGGTACTGACAGGTGGCGGGGTCTCGCTCTCCAAAGAGTTGCGCGGTCGGGGGGACGTGGAAATGGCTGTGCGAGCGCTGCGTTACCTGCAGCAGGCCACGTGCGCCAGACCGCGGCAAAAAACAACGATGGACATTGTTGGGATTGTGGTGGAGTGGGCCGCGCTGATGTACAGTGCTCTTGCCGCGTACCCACCTCCACAAGAGCACGTGAAACATGCTGGGGAAGCGGAGGGGGCTACATCCACTTGGGCACCTCCAGCGATGCCGCCCGCGCAGGAGTTTCTCGCGGGGAGGGGCGAAAGCATGTTCTCGCAGGAGGAACAATTGGGCTCACCCCAACGCCTAACACCTCCACACCCACTGCATCCTTCACACTTGTCCTCCCCATTGGGTCCTGACGACCTCACGATGGACCGAAGAGACGGTAGGGGCAGCGGCGCCAGTGAGGAGGCGGGGTGGGATGCCATACCTCCGCAGACGCAAGGGAATATCCCGATTCCGCGGCAGATGCCGAGCTGTGCAGTGACGGCAGCTAAGGCACATAATTTACCGTTTATGTCGGTTTGCAGCGAGGTGCTTGAGGCGGCCTTCCACCTCCAGCAAAACGGTACACAATGCAAGCCGTCGCACGTCAACCACTCAGTGGGTGGTGGTGGGGAGCAGGTTGGGGGGGAGGACGGAGGCCTGGCCGTTGTTGGCGCAGCCCCAGCGACGCAACTCAGTTGTCGCGAGGGTTCTATTCAATCCACGTCTGGCAGCTGTGGCGGTGAGGATGATTTTCTTCCGTCCCTCATCCATCGCCTTGTTTCAGTGTGTCACGCCCCCTCGAACAGTCGTCTTGCGGGCCGTCTCTCACGGATTGCAGCAGGGGACTTTTTTCCGAGCCACAAGATGTTAGAAAAGGCAGATCTACTTCGTCAGCGTCTCGGCAGAACCCTCGTGGTGCGCTTCTACGACCTCGACCCGCAGAAGCCGCCGCTGCACCGCCACCAGTCGTGTTTGCATGATGGCCCTACGGCGCAGTCGAGTTCCTTCGCGGCCTCGGTGGCCGCTGCCGGATTTTTAAACAGCACGGAGCACCCATGTTACATGTTTCTCACACACACAGACATCATTCTGGTCAGCGCGTTTGACGCCAACTACCCACCGTCGTCGTTGTGGGTTACCAGCAACAAGAACAGTACGGCATTCGATCTCGCCCACAACGAAAAAAGTAGTAGTAGTAGTAGTAGTGGTAGCTGCCGCGACGATAATAATGCCGCTGTTAGTGATCACGGAAGCAGGCGCAGGGATGACGCTCCGATTTGCATGCAGCACGTGTTTGTGATTCCCCGCGTCTCACTGATGGGGATTAGGCGGTTGCACAATACGGCAGATGCAGGTATGGCAACTCTGCTGCGGCTCCAGACACGATCCTGCCGCCGGATTTGGTTGGCCTTTCAGGAGGCCAGCGAGCTGCAACACGTTTACCTGGAGCTCAACAGCGGATTGCAGACATCGTCTGGCAATCGCTTTTTGGCCAGCGCTCAGCGGAACTGGCGCATGACAGCCCTCACTCTCGTCGCTGGTGACGTTCTGCCCATCCCACACACGCCGTTCTATCAGCAGGTGCTACAGAACCTTCTTGCCGCCTTTGCAGACGTGGAGTCCCGTCGGGAACACACGCCTACGGCCTCTGCTGAGCCGCTTGTCGCCTCGGATAGCGCAGGTGGCGCCCCGTTGGCAGTGGCGAAGGAGGAGGAAGACCTCGACGTTGGTCAGGGGGGGCTGAAGACGTTGTCCTACTCCTGGTGGTTGTATTCCCCGATGCGGGAGTACGTGCGTCAGGGCATCCCCTCGCGACAGTGGCGGCTGTCAAGCGTCAACAGCCGCTACCAGCACTTCCCCTCATACCCTGCCAAGTTTGTCGTGCCAGGCTGCTTGAACGATGATGCGTTGATTGAGTCGGCGAGCCTGCGGACGCGGATGCGGGTGGAGGCGCTCTCCTATTACTGCTCGAGCACAGGTGCTGGTATTGTTCGTGCGGCGCAGCCAGCGGCCGCCAATATTTGCGCCTCCGCATCTAAAGTCGATGCCGTGAAGTTGTACCGTCGGGCCTGTGGCATGCAGGTGTGCACATTTGACCTCCGCAGCCGAATCACCGCGTACGCCAACACCGTTCTTGGAGGCGGCTTTAGCATGGAGACGGGGCGCTACTGCCACCTGTCAAACATTCACGTCGTGCGAGAGGCGTACGAGACACTCATTGCCGCGGTGCTGGACAGCAACCCCTCATTTCTTGCTGTTATGTTGGCCGCAGGTAAGATGTCCACCTCACGCAACGATACGTCAGCATCTGCCACTCCGTTCGGCTCCTCGGCTACGGTTGAGTCACCCGTGAAGGCGGCAGACGTGTGGAATGAACACATCCATGGACTGCTCCGCACCGCCACAGATGCCGCACGCCTTATAACGGGTGTTTCAGAGGGCGACGCCCTCGCGCCCGCCATCCCCGGCACGGCAGCAGACACACTACTGAGTGGCAGGAATGTAATGGGGGGGGGTGTATCACCCAGAAAATTGATGAGTGGTAACAGTGGGAACGTTGGCGGGATCAGTGATCGCCTGATTCCTCGTTCCTCCACCGTGTATGTATGGAAACGTGCATTTAGTGCGATCCCCTTCCGTAATAGTAGATGGAGGAATAGCGGCGACGATGGTGATGGCACATTCTGGCGCTTGGCACAGAAGCAGATGAGTGCGCAACCGCCGCCGTCATACACGCAGCTGGATAACCGCAAGCATGCACAGCTGGTTATCGTTAACTGTTCTGATGGCTGGGATCGTACCTCGCAGGTGTGTGCGCTGACACAACTTCTTGTTGATCCCTACTTTCGTACCATGGAGGGCTTTATCACGCTGCTGGAGAAGGAGTTCGTGTCCTTCGGGCACCCCTGCCTCTTGCGCTCCTCCACGTTGCAGAGCCACAGCGAGGCGGGCGTGGGGGCTGCGGTGATGGATGGATCCTACGTTGGTGTCCACGACAGCCACAGAGGCCCCGCCTTCGAAAACTGTCAGAGCTCGCCCATCCTTTTGCAGTTCCTCAACGCCGTGCAGCAGCTGCTGCGTTTGTACCCACACTGTTTTGAGTTTACGGAGACTTTTTTGCTTTTAATTGTGGATCTCATGCACGCCGGCATCCTTGGCACATTTGCGGTAAACTGCGAGGGCGACGTGCTTCGCTGGGGGGTAGAGCAGCAGACGCTGTCACTCAGCCAGTTCTGCGCCGTGTTGTTCGCCACAACAATTCGCACCGGTAGCAATCCCCTTGTTGAGACCACCGAAAATGGCGAGGGTAGCAGTGAGGTGGAGGAGCACACCGGGTGTGGCTCGCCGGCATCTCCCGCTGTGCCTCTGCGATGCTTCTACCGGTCGTGCGGCGGCGGGGCGACGTTGCCGGGTGTTGGCTGTGGCTCTGCCGACAGTGCGCCACGCCGTATACCGGTGTCGTACGACGCCATGTGTCACTCCGGCCTGTTAAACCCGCATTTTTCCCTTGCCGATAACAAACTCCTTTTCGGGCCTCTTGTGGATGTGGTGCGTCCGCTGCAGCTGCAGCTGTGGGAAGGGTTCTTTCTGCGTCACAGTTTTTGGTGCGAGCGGCCAGCCAAACTGCGGCAGTTCAGTGAGCAGAGCTCCTCCACCGTGCACGCGACTCTCGTGGCAGCTACAGGAACGACGATGGCAGCGCCTTCGTTGGCGTTTGCGTCGGCGACGGCACTGAAGCTGCTGCCCGTGGGGGGGGAGAGGCGACCGCATACGACCCCCACGGCCGTCTTTCGGCCCACCGACCTGGGTGATGTCCCGTCTCTCAGGATGCATAGTGCCGTTGCTGCCTCCCCACAGCTCAACATGACACGAAGGACGAGTACCAGTGGCATATCAACGTCATCCCCACAAGGGACACAAATTAACCCAATTCTAATTGGGGGACGCGCAGACGTGGCCAGAGGCGGAAATCCGTTTGTCCCATGCACACTCCACTGCGACGCCTCGTGTGGGTCGCTGGCTACCTTCTCCTCTTCCCCCTCTGCGGGAGTGCAGTCGTTAGAGCACCTCCAGAAACTGCCGTCAACGTCGCTGTACCAGCGTGGTTCCATCGGCGTCGTCAGTACGGTGGGAAGTGCCATGAGCGATCACTGTAATCCCCTTGCCGACGGTGCAGTGTTAAAGCGACAATCACTGGCCACGCTGCCGAGTGGCGTCGAGTCTCTGGGTTCGCCTCCTTATGTTGGACTGAACGAGGGCCGATACGCGCAGCAGAAGACAGCCCTCACGGAACCCGCGGGAGCGCAGGCGCACAGCTACAATGCCCTTCTGGACGTCCTGGACCACGCCTTCAACTAGCACACAAACCGTGTGTTTATATAAGGTGATATTATATATATATATAATATCCCTTTCATCACTTTTATCTACGTGTGTTCTTTCCGGCTTGAAGCAACTAGTTTGGGATGTTATTGACAGTATACCACTTTGCTGTTGTATTTTGTTTGAATCTTTTTGGTGGCCACTCATTACACTGGATTTGGCTGCCTGGGCGTGTTTTGTTTCTCTGTTTTTCAGTTGTCTGTGAATACGTCACCCCCTCCCCTCCCCTCTCTGCCTTCATTGCGTGTTGCATGTAAATGTGCGTGTGTGAGGGCAAGGCGGACGGACGAAGCGCCAGTTATGCTGGTTGATACCAAAATACGATGCAGACACAAGCACACACGCTGCGTCAAGCGGTTGATCCCCGCCTTGCCTGTGGCGCTGAGCGTCATGATGTAATTTTTACGCCCGGTTTTCTCACTCACACACCTGTCTGCACGGAATATATATATATATATATTTGTGTGACTGAGTCTAGTGACCCCATCATTGCCATTTACCGTCTGTTTGAGATGTAAAAGAGGTAGTATCGCAATCTCCACAGCAGCGGGAGAGAGAGAGAGAGAGAAGGGTGATACATGGGCACACAGCGAGGGCAGTGAGGATGGGAACTCCTTTGAGGATGTGCGACGTCCGCGTCTTGCGGCATCCCTGCATGTGTTGTGCACCCACGCACGCAATTTTTACTCCTCCAAGAAGGACGCGTTGGCCGCCCGCGCCGCCCTGCGTGGCACCGTCGCCTGCATGCACAGGCACCTTGCCTTGCTGGGCATGTCGTCGCGGGTCCTGACCGTCCTGGGCCAGCGTTTGCTGTGGGGTTTTTTTTACCCGGTGTGTGTGTCACGATGACTGGAGCACTACGTCCAGAATGGCAATTGCGTATTTATTTGTTTATAACTCTCTCTCTCT